CTGACGATTGCTCCGAGCTGTAGAGTGTAGGGTACAGGACTTAGATTTTAGGGGTTGGGGTTTGGGGTTTGGGGTTTGGGGTTTGGGGTTGGGGTTTGGGGTTTGGGGTTTGGGGTTTCGGATTTGGGTTTCGGGTCATAGAGATTAGGGTTAGGGTTTAGGGTACAGGATTTGGGGTTCAGGAGTTTGGGGTTTGGGGTTTAAGGTTCAGGGTGTAGGGTTTAGGGTCTAAGGTTTAGGGTTTAGAGTTTAGGGTTTAGGGTTTAGGGTTCAGAGTTTAGGGTAGGGTTTACGGTGCATGGTTCAATATATAGGGTTTCGGGTCTAGTGCTGGTCCCACACGCTGGGCCAGTAGCGTTTGAAAGTTTCAGGGTTTGGGATTTGAGAGGCACATGTGCGATTGGGAGGAACATCTAGCTCTGCCTCACTCGGGTTGACCGACTGTTCTCAAGTTGACACGCTGGGTGTGCGGTACAAATCCGTCAACTTTGCAGCGAAAAAGAGCCCAGGCTTGCCAAATTCTAGCTCTGTCCCACTTCGATTTCGTCTCATCATCAATTCGCCCCCCACGAAATTTATCAGGTAACTTTCATGTATGTGGGGGGGTCAAAAAGCACCTGAGAAATTTTGGGTGGGGCGAATTGATGATGAGACGAAATCGAAGTGGAACAGAGCTAGAAATTGGTGAACCAACATAGACTGAGACAGAGCTAGAACATGTGCTTGCCGCGCTGCAGCTGCATCAGCGTGAGCAGTGACAGAGCAGCGACAGAGCGTTCGAACGTGTGAGGGTTAGGCCGTTCGGGGTTTGGGAGGAAAGTGTGCCCGCCACGTTGGAGGAGTGTGAGCGTGAGCAGTGATAGTGACAAAGCAGCGAGGGCCTCGCTGCCCGCACGCTGGGCCAGCAGGATTGTGTGCTGCTGGTCCCGCGTGCGGACAGAGAGGCTTCATGTGCTGCAGCCACCGAGTCCGCTCTGTCACTGCTCACAGCACGGAGCTGCAGAGAGAGAGGGGCAGCGTGCACGTCACAACGTCAGGTGCACGACGCAAGCGGGCTTCGCTGCCCGCACGCTGGGCCAGCAGGACTGTGTGCTGCTGTGTGCAGGTGCTTCGCCCCTCCCTAGCTACTCCGCTGGACCAGCAGGATTGTGTACGGACTCGGTGACTGCAGCGCAGAAAGCAGCGACGCTGCAGCGCAACGAACAGTGTGACTCACGCGCGCAGAGCAGCGGCAGCGTGTCGGCGGGCGGGGGGCTCCTTCATGACGCCCGATGGACCCCGGGGCTTGGGTAGGTGCACCCAGGCCAGGGGAGAGGACGGCGGAGTGCGAATGAGCAAGGCCGCGGTTGGGTGCAGATGGGCCCCGGCGAGGTTGGTGAGAAGGAAGGAGGCAAAAGGGTGCTCTCCAACGCCAAGCAGAGCAGGGGGGGGCAGCGTCGTGGGCGCTTGCACACTTGCAAGCTTGGGGGCCGCTGCGGGCCCAGTGGGTCCATGCGGGTGCGCGGGGCACCCTGGATTGGGCCTGGGGGCCCCAGCGAGGTCGATGAGAAGGTAGGAGGCACGGGGATCCTCCAGACGCCAAGCAGAGCAGGGGGGGGGCAGCGTCGTGGGCACGCTGGCATGGACGCAGGCATGGAGGCCGCCGCGGGCCCAGAGGGCCCACGCAGGGTCCACGGGCGCGGAGCACCCGGATACCCCCGGGATCGGGCCTGGGGGCCCCGAGGGCCCTCTAGGGGTGACCTTCCAGCAGGGGCACACGGAGATGGACGGGGGCGGGGGAAAGCGGTCGGGAGACCGTGACGAGGTCTGCGCCTCCAGGGCTGGAAGTCGCTTTACTCCAGGTCGTATATAAACATTTCGAATCACCATAATTTCAACCGCCTTTACAGAGCAAACAACCAGCCGGGTTGGCTCAGTTGGTAGTAGCGTTGGTCTCATAATCCAAAGGTCATCGGTTCGATCCCGATACCCGGCAATTCTTTTTTGACATTTCCATCATAACTCCAGGAAGGCTCTTTTTCGGAGCTCAAAACCTGTTACCGACGGCCAAAGTAGATCTGAAAGTCAACATCGCAGCATGATAAGTCAACAATGTTCGACAGGTTATGGAGGTGAACTGCGAAATAAGTCAACCCCCCTCCATAAACCCCCAGGGCGATTTCAAGGTGCTGGCACTCTCACCGAAGTCGAAAAACGGCACGGTAAAATGCTGCCCTCCACTCGACTCTCGACTGGAGTCACAGCAGGATTGCGTTGCGGAGGGCGAGAGAGAGAGAGAGAGAGAGAGAGGGTGGAGAGAGAGAGCGAGAGAGAGAGAGCGAGAGAGAGAGAGAGAGAGAGAGCGGAGAGAGACAGAGAGAGGGTGGAGAGAGAGAGGGTGTGTGTGTGTGTGAGAGAGAGAGAGAGTGGAGAGAGAGCGAGCGCGAGAGAGGGATGGCGGAGGGAGTGAGACATGGCATGGAGAGAGGACACAGATAGAGAGGCAGAGAGGCAGGGAGGGAGGAAGGGAAGAGGGATTTGCTTGTGATTTCGCCATTTCATTTTAGGTCCTTTAGGTTTCCTCGTAGCAAGGGGATCTCAACCTATGATCGTAGAAGGGAAAGACCAACAACACAGGTTGCGGGCTCCTAAGTTAACACAGGTTGCGAGCCCAGTCCTCTGTTAACTTAAGACGTAATGGTGTACGGTGAATCTAAGTTGTTCTCGGCTCCACTTTCTGCATCCGCCTTTACAGAGCAAACAACCGCCGGGTTGGCTCAGTTGGTAGTAGCGTTGGTCTCATAATCCAAAGGTCATCGGTTCGATCCCGATACCCGGCAATTAATTTTTGCCTTTTCTGCCTTGAATTCTCGGAGGCTATTTTTCGGGGCTCACAACCTGTTATTACGGCCCAACTGAATTTCAAAGGCATAAGAAAGCATCATTTGAGCCCTAAAATAGAATGTACTTATCTTCGCGTGGGGAGCCTATGATACATTGTAGTCACTAGTGGGGAGCCTATGATACATTGTAGCCTATGACACACTATTTGAAAGGCATAAGATAGCATCATTTGAGCCCTAAAATAATATGTACTTACCTTCGCGTGGGGAGCCTAGGATACATTGTAGCGTAAGATACATTATTTCAAAGGCATAAGATAGCATCAATAGGGAGTTTGATGCCTAAAATAGTATACTTAGTTTCCGCGTGTGGAGCCTAAGATACATAACTTAGGGATCGCGGGCTCGGCGGAGACACACAGGTTGCGGGCTCGTAACACAGATTGCGAGCTCATTCGCGTCCCCTTCCGTTAATTAACATGCTTTCTCTGCAGTCCTTTCTAGGTCCTACGGAAGGGCCGCTTCAAGGGCGTGTCGTTGGCATATGTATGTTGGGAGCATTTAAAACCTAAAGGACCTAAAGGATCACAAGTGAACGGTCCGCCGAAGATTAAGTCAACGAGGGTGGACAGGAGATCTGCGAACCAAAAGCAGCATGAAGAACAACGACCTCTCTGAAAAGGTCCCCAAGCTCCTGGCATCCGCCGAAGGCGGTCCCCGTAATGGTAAACCTGAACCCTAATAAACACTCGAAACCTACGAGTAGGTCCTAGACCTGGACTCTAAACCCGCGGGCGCCCACCACGCCGTGGGGACGGAGTTCCCAGGACGGACCTAAAGGACCTAAAGGACCTAAGGACGAGCACAGCCTCTAATTCCCAATTGGTATACCTCCAAACACCCCAAGAGAACCACACTGTATCCCCTCTTCACGAGCCTCTGCACTGGAAAGCGAAACGCGATCCGAAAGCAAACATGCTTTCTTTGCAGTCCTTTCTACGGAAGGGCGTGTCGTTGGCATATGTTGGGAGAAATTAAAACCTAAAGGACCTAAAGGACCTAAAGGACGAGCACAGCCTCTAATTCCCTGGCAGCCCCACGCCCTGCCACCGAGGCCCTGCGAAAACCACTTCCCGTCTCAGAAAAGAATATATTAAGGGGATTACCGGTAAGAGGAAACTAAGGGAGATAAGGGAAACTGTATAAGGGAGATAGGGGAAGTTACTATAATTATTTTAAAGGATCGCTCCGATACCCTCGCTGTGATCCGAAAGGAAGCATGGCCTTTCCGCAGGATAAGTTCCAGTGTCCGCCTATGTTGGGAGCTCGAAGAACCTAAAGGACCTAAAGCACGACCCCACGCAAGTACTAACCTTGGATCCATTTTCATCTCTTGGATTGGTGAACGGGAGAAATTACTAGCATCGTATGGCAAAGGTGATTTTCTTTATGACTCCTACTTAAATCAACCCCCCCCCCCCCAACAGCCGATGCGATCCTCCTCGCCCGGGCCGCGGAGAAGTACACCCTTCTAGTTGGGGCGAAGCGCGCGCGTGCCGAGGCGCACGAGAACGACTCCTCTAAGGACGAGGCGATCGAAAATGGCTCCAAGAACGAGGCGCTCGAAAATGGCTCAAACGTTAGCCTCGAAAATGGCTCAAACGTTAGCCTCGAAAATGGCTCCAAGGAAGCTCTCGTGGCGTCGCGCCGCTCGCGGTGGAAGCGCTCTTCCACGGTGATCTAATCCCTAAATCTCAAACCCTAAACACTAAACCCTAAACACTAAACCCTAAACACTAAACCCTCAAGTCTAAACCCTAAACCTTAAACCCTAAACTCTACGTCCTAAACCTTAAACCCCCAGCCCAAAACTCTAAACCCTAAACCCTAAACCCTAAACCCCCATTCCTAAACTCTAAACCCGAAACCCTGACAGTAATCAGTAATCAGAATCCTAAATCATTAACCATCAACCATACCATACAGGTACACTCATGCCGCACCGTCGCTGGAAACGGCTCCAACGGCCGCCGGGCATACCTCGAACGGTACCTCGAGGAGTACTACCGCCGCAACTGCTGCAGTTGCACCCGAACCCCAAAACCCGAAACCCGAACCCCGAAACCCGAAACCCGAAACCCGAAGCCCTACACCCTTAACCAGCCACTGCTGCAGTTGCACCCTAAACCCGAAACCCGAAACCCGAAACCCGAAACTTAAAACCCGAAACCCGAAACCCTAAGCCCTAAACCCTAAGCCCTAAACCCTAAACCCGAAACCCTAAACCCGAAACCCGAAACCCGAAACCCGAAACCCTAAGCCCTGAACCCTACGCCCTAAACCCTGAACCCTTAATCCTAAACCCTTAATCCTAAACCCTAAACCCTCAACCCTAAACCCTAAACCCTAAACCCCAAACCCTAAGCCCTAAACCCTAAACCCGAAACGTGGGGCAGTCGTGTGCCTCAAGCGGATCGTGTACGACTCTTCGCGCGTGGGGATGACGATGGAGAAGGCGCGATCCCTTGGGTTTCAGCGCCTCTCTGCGGCTGTGCGCGAGCCCGGGGTCAACCCTGAACCCTGAACCCTGAGCCTAAAACTCTACGCCCCAAAACCTTAACCCTTACGGTAACCCGAAACCCGAAGCCCGAAACCCGAAACCCGAAACCATGAACCTTACACTCTGAACCCTGAACCCTGAACCTGAAACCCGAAACCCCAAACCCCAAACCCCAAACCCCAAACCCCAAACCCCAAACCCCAAACCCCAA